ACTTCCTGTGGTTCGGTTTCTGCCCGTTGCCTCTTGTCCTGTTGCTGGGCACCACGGAGAAGAGATCGGCCTCATCCTCTTGACACTCCCCCTTCAGATACTTATACACGTTGATGAGATCCCCTCTCAGTCCTCTCTTCTCCAGGCTGAAGAGGCCCAGCTCTCTCAGCCTTTCTTCAGAGGAGAGATGCTCCAGTCCCCTCATCATCTTGGTAGCCCTCCGCTGGACTCTCTCCAGTAGCGCCATGTCTCTCTTGTACTGGGCAGCCCAGAACTGGACACAGTACTCCAGGGGAGGCCTCCCCAGGGCTGAGGAGAGGCGCAGGATCACCTCCCTCCACCTGCTGGCAACACTCTGCCTAATGCACCCCGGGAGACCCTTGGCCTTCTTGGCCACAAGGGCACACTGCTGCCTCATGCTTCACTTGTTGTCCACCAGCACTCCCAGGTCCTTCTCGGCAGAGCTACTTTCCAGCAGGTCAACCCCCAGCCTATACTGGTGCATGGGATTATTCCTGCCTAGGTGCAGGACCTTGCGCTTGCCTTTCTGAGCTTACCATTTCTTGTGGCTTCAACAGAACTGCTAGGCTCTGGAGATCTTCAGTTCTTTGGAGAGTCTCACATAGCACTTTTCAGTGCATACGTTTCTTCTCCTTTTCTTGCTGTTTCCTGGTAGCTTTTCCTCCATCAGCACCAACTGGGACCTGGAGAACCCATTCACACAAACTCATGCAGAGGGGCCCATTACAACCATTCATTAAACTTGTGTCTCTTGCTTTATGCTTCTCCATCCTGTAATTTAATAATTGTAACATGCAAGAATAATATGGGATGCTAGCTACTATACTCCTGTTAAATTTACAAGAGAATATTTGCCTCAGCAAACTGCACAGCAGAGAATGTGCTGATGTCAATGATGCAATAATAGGATGACCTTCCTCCTGTGGTTGAGTAACAAAGGTTATAGCTTCCCATTGGTTCTCATCTACCCAGTCAACAGGGACATTGGCTCCTTCACTCAAGCTTAAAGGTAGTCTCTATCACAGAAGAAGCCCATGTCCAAGAGTGGTTTACACCCATTTTACCAGGCTGAGGCATGAAGTAAGCAAAGAAGGCACTTCATAGGTAAGAATGCCAGGTGGGCAGAACTGAGCTAGTCCCCAGAAAAAGAAAAATATTTAGGTAAATCAATCATGCTAGAGAAAGAAAACCAGACAAGACAAGAAACACAAAGAAATATCAATACAAGATAAAGCAAATATTATTAAAGAGCACAGTTTTGCAAAATGCTGGGGAAGAAAGCAGAAGCTCTTGCCCCACGCTGGCAAGGAAAGGCAAGGGCTGTCCTCTTTGCAAGGCTCTTGTCAAATCCACTGCTACGGCCTAATGGTCCAATAAAAGCACTTGAAATGACATGTTGTGCTTGAGGCACCCCTTGCATGTTTTAGGCAGCAAGTATTTTAAAATAATACTATGGTATAGTATAGTAATGTACTATAGCAATATACGGTAATATAGTAAATATGGGATACTACTTGTGTATTTTACTAGAACATAATCAAACACAAACGGAACGTGGTATGAAATCTCGTCTGCAGACTGCTAAACCAGTGTCTATTACCCTATAGCTAAGAAATCAGTACAAAATTATCCTTTAGGTAAGACCAAGAGTGTATGAAAAACGAGTTAGACCTCTAGAACTTATGAGAATTCAAGTTGGGTAGTACCTGATTTTAGCGTGCTGATTTACCCTTATTCTGCAGCTTTATGCAGTTACCTATGTTAGCATAAATTGTATGAAGAATTTTACAAATCTAGCTTAGCCATGTCTTAAGAGCCATTTTATTCAGGGGAGATGTTAACCCAAAGGACAAGTCAGTGAGGCAAGAGAATCCCAAAACGCAGTCTGAGATCCCTCATAATGCAAATTCCTTCCTATAAAAGGCTGTGGGGAGTTCTGACATTACGTGAGTGTCATTGTTTCCAGCTTCTCCTGGGAAGAGTGGATGCAATATTAAAACTTAACACTCTGAAAGGTTCCTCTATAGTTTTAGTGTGGAAAAATGCTAAGTACGGAGATAGGTGACTGGGGAAAATGGCTGGAAGTTTTCTTGAGTGTGGAAGTCACGAGATTTGGAGTCAGAGTGTTGCTGTTCCCTGACCCGGTGTGCGAGTTCCTGTGAGGGAAATGGAACAGAAATTTTCAGATGAGCATTTTCCTTCTCCTTGTGTCCTAGTTATAACTGCCTGTAGGACAGACATCAGTCGAGCTTGCCTTTGCAGGACAGTGAAACAGCAGGGAATCTTGTAATAGGGGCGGGG